CGTCAGTATAGTTATTGACATTCAAACCGAAATTAGCATCTTGTTTATGTCAGGAACGCAAAGGAACCCAAAAGAAAGAGGGCGTCCTGCTTCAAGCGAAGTATATAAACAATTGCAAAATAAAGAAAAAGGAGATCAAATTCAATACTACCTGTAGAAGACGTGCGAAAGGATGAAGTAGCACATTGGCCAATTTTTTCGGATAACAGAGGACGTTGTAAAAATCCCGGATGTAAAGGAGTTCCAAAAATTAAATGTTCCAAATGCAATGTCCATTTATGTTTAACGCCAAGTGCAAACTGTTTTGTGGCATTCCACGCTTAAGTTTTCATAGACACGGTTTCAAACATTATAGGCCGCTGTGACTTGAAAGTCACATAGTGTAATTACTGCAATAAAATTGTTTGAACCGAAATTTTTTGTTCTCATTTGCATATATAGGTTTATAATTGCTGATTTTTTGTTCCACTATTTTTTTGGATTTAAAACAAAAATTCGGCCCATAGAGGGTTAACTTGCCAACACATGAAAGAAGATATTGTAGGATTCAAGAAGAAGATCAAGACGTGATTAATACCAGTAGTGGACTTATAACTGTGAGTGGTAATATTGCATCACGAAACTTGGCAGCTGTAAAAATTCGAGATAATTTTGCTTATTACTTTGAACACATTTCTCCATTGCCTTGGCAATGGGATAAAGCTTTGTCTAACGATTTTTTAGGTGTACTGAAATTTGTAATTAAAATAAAGTAAATTCAATATTTTTCTGCATACAATTTATTTATATCAATTAGAAAAGTTAAAAAATAGTAATTAAAATTGTGAGTAAAAATAAACTAGTTCAATCCTCGTTGTGCCTCCATCATTTCCTCTTCTTCAATCGCCAAATCCATAAGCCTTCTTTGCAGACTTCGACGCTTGGGATATGGCAGACGGCGTAAAATATCAGCCAACTGCTCCACGAAGCTGTCCACCACATCTCTTTGTTGCTGCGGTGCTGTTTTTAGCATTTCTAAAAATGCATCTTGCAGCTGTGCTTTCTTTGCTTCTGTAATGTAAATTATTATTACATATGAATATAAGTCAAACACACGAAATTATAAAAATTGTACAAATTGTCATATATACAAAAGCCGCGTATATTTACTTTTGTTTTTGTTGGCCGATGTCGATACATTAGAAGTCGCAGACTGCGGACGTTCTGTATCTGTGGTAATGTCTGTTCTGTCATCGTCATTTTCTGGATAGCTCATGGAGACATCCAACGACACATCTTCATGAACACCACTGTTGCTGCTGTGTGACGAATTTTGCACAAACTCTGGCAGAGAGTTGACGGTCCTGCAAAATTGAAATTTTTATGTAATTATATAAATACATCAATGCACAAAAGTCATCAATTTTAAGAACAACATTAACACTTACGATACTGTGTTCAAAATGTCATCGAGAAATCTCATTTTCTCGTAATGAGCAAAAGTGCTCTTCAGCGGATGTCCTGCTTCTGCTCCGGATCCACTTTGCACATATCCCTGCATACGCTTGCGGGCTTTGATATATGCATCGCGCAAATGCTTCCATTTTTGCTTTCCCGATTGACATCAGTTATTGCTCCTATAATTTTAAACAGAAATCTTTAGTACAAATGCAAACGCGTGCGTAAATTTGCAAATAATATATATTAATAATACAATGAAATGATCTTATCTCCAAGACTATTGACAATCTCGTTCCACAAAGCATTTCGTTTTAAATTTGTTCTTTCTTTGGTAGATAATCTATGATCCCACAAAGCCTTACGCTCATGAACAAGATCGATGAGCAGTTCATCTACTGTTTGCTTTGGGTTGTTTGTACCAAAAATTGCTTCTGACATATTATTAGCAGCATCTTCCATCTCTTCTGCATCACTGTCATATCTCTGCACTGTGAAATAATAATAAATTAATCAATGTTACAGTAATTTTTTATGTATTTAATTAATATATTTATAAAATACAATAAGAACGTTTTGCACTTACACATTGTAACAACAGAGTTTTCATCTACATTGATGGCATGTAAGTGCTCACTAAAATCGCTGAAACAGTGATGTGCGAGAGCATTTCCACAAGACCCATGAAGAATATAGTCACAATAGCCACATTTTAATGACTGCAATGGAATTGAAAACGTAAAAGTTCTTTTTACACTTATAACAGAAACGTATATAGTTATTAGTTTCATATAAATATATATAATACTTACAGAACCTGAACTCATCGTATATATTATATTGCATATACTTTTCTCTTCCAACCGTTTTAATTTTAAACGAATTCTGCTTGCTTTGTTTTCTTCTTTTTCCTTTGATCGACATCTGACAATCTGTTTATATTTGTCTCCTGTATGTTGTAAATTTAAATCGAACTGCAAGCTTGCGCGCGGATCTGTAATTCTAGTTACTAGTCACTTTAGTTCCTTTATCGCGTACCGCAAACCGCGCTCTATGTAATCGCACCCTAAGTCATTGTATGGATTAGTTATTCCCGGCCCCGTTGCCATATGGTGTCGCCACAGATCTTGGCTACCAACGTGAAGTTGGCTTTAGCGGTTTATATTTTCATAGTCAAAGGTTTTTCAGGTTTTTCAGGTTATATTATTTACGTAACACGAAACAACATAAAATAATAACGAAATAATTAAATAATACAGCAAGATGTCTGAAGACGAAGTGGAAAGCTTTGAAATTACTGATTATGATTTAAATAATGAATTTAACATAGCTCGTCCTCGACGCAAACTCTCAAAGAAGCAACAAATGCTAGGTATATAATCTGCAAATAACATTAAAATAAATTAATAATATAAAAATTTTTTGAAAATGTAGTAAAATTTTAATAATAATTTCTTTTAATTCTATAGTTTCATCATATCTTTTTAGATAGAACGTCATATTATTTTGTTATTATAATTAATTCACTTTTTTAATAGGAATATGGGCAGATAATAGTGATGAGGATGAATTATCTGCTAGGCCATCTTTCAAGACTTTCAACAAGGGCCCTAAAAATTATACAGCACCAGTCAATTTCGTTGCTGGTGGTATCCAACAGTCAGGGAAACCAAAAGATAAGGAAGATAAAGAAGATGAAGAAGAGGAAGAAGAAATGCGTGATTCTCAAACAAACCTTCACAGTGATTCAAGGTCAGTTTTTCCCACAGAAAGTATGATGTTAAATTTTTTCTGCAGATTTTTATTAATCTAAATTTATATCTTATTTCTTATATGCAGTTCAGAAGATGAAAAGCCAAATAGCCCAAAATCACGTTCATCCTTCACTTTAAGTTTAGAAAGTGATATTGCAGGTTTGCGTAAAAAGCGTAGTCAAGTAAATTCATTACTGATGAAAAGTGGAATGGGTAGTTGGGAAGTACATACCAAGGGCATTGGTGCTAAATTATTACTACAGGTATTTTAAAAACAACAATTTATTATTTGTAGATATTATTAAAGTAGGACAGTAATAAAAAATAAGTATGATTTCTTGTTTTAGATGGGATTTGAACCTGGTAAGGGCTTGGGTAAACAGTTACAAGGAATTAGCGCACCAGTGGAAGCACATCTCAGAAAGGGAAGAGGTGCGATAGGTGCATATGGTCCGGAAAAGGTACCAAAGATTCCAGAAAAAAAGAAAGATGATGAGAAGGAAGAAGCAAAAGAATCCAAGACTAAAGTATCCCAATGGCGGAAGGGTGATAACAGCGGCAAGAAAAAAGTCAGATATTGTTACAGAAGCGTGGATCAAGTTTTGGAAGATGGAAAATTGAAGCCCAATAAAAAGATTCCAGTATCTAGCGACATGAGCAGAGTTAAAGTTATCGATATGACAGGGCCAGAGCAGAGAATTCTCAGTGGATATCACGCGATAGCTGGTGGTCAGCAGTGCCCCGATGAGAACGTAATCACATCTGATAAAAAATCTAAAGTGAATTTTGCCTTGCCTGAATTGCAGCACAATTTAAATTTGCTTGTTGATATGTGCGAGCAAGATATTATTCAAAATGATCGGCGAATGAGACATTTGAATGATAGACTAATCACATTAGAAGCGGAAAAAAAAAATTTATCAAAAGTTGTCAATCAGCATAGTGAATTAATTGATACCTTGGAAAATGTGCTCATGATCGTGGATAGACTGATGAATGAAACAAACGAATTGTCTCTGCAAGAAACTGCGGAGGCTTTCAAAAATTTGCAAGATAATTATTACGAGGAGTACAAAATGTACGAACTTGGTGAATTGGCCAGCAGTTTTGTAGCGCCGAAAATAAAAGATTGCCTGCTCAGTTGGAATCCACTGATGCAACCGAAACAACCAATTAAATTGTTCCAACAATGGAAGAGTATTTTAGAAAGTGGAATCAGTACTACGCTTCAGACACAAACGATGCAACCGTATGATCAACTAGTGTGGAATGCATGGATGCCATCGATTAGAGGAGCTATACAGTAAGTTATTCTTAACAAACACTTCTCGACTTTTTTAGGTCATTCAGTATATCAAAATGTACAAGCAGTTTTCTTTAATCTATAGATTATCTATTTTCTAATATCTTTCATTTATAAACGAATTAGACAATGGACGTGTAGGCAGCCTGATCCTCTAATCGAACTGATAGAATATTGGATACCATTGTTACCCAGCTGGATCTTAGAAAATATATTAGATTTATTAGTATTGCCAAAATTGACATTAGAGGTAGAAGAATGGAATCCTCTCACCGACACTGTACCTATTCATACATGGATTCATCCTTGGTTGCCCTTATTACGTAAGTATATATACAAAATTTACATTTATATCTATACAAATAAATCAATAATCGTATATTATCTTTATCCAGGAAATCGTTTGGACACTTTAATTTATCCAATAATACGCAGAAAACTCGGATCTGCATTAGGCGGTTGGCATCCATCAGACAGATCCGCCAGACTAATGCTGCAACCTTGGGCGGAAGTGTTTGCCAAGGGTGACATGGAAGCGTTTTTAGTCAAGAATATTGTTCCAAAGTTGCAAATAGCTTTGTCCGAATTTGTTATAAACCCGCATCAACAGCACTTGGATCAATGGAACTGGGTGTACGAATGGAAGGAATTGATTCCCGTTCACATTATGGCAGGACTGTTCGACAAGTTCTTTTTCCCGAAGTGGCTACAGGTCTTGGCACTTTGGCTCAATCATTCGCCTAATTATGATCAAGTTACAACCTGGTACATGGGTTGGAAGGGGATGTTAAGCGATAAGTTATTGGCGGAACCCCTGATAAAAGGTATATTCCCCGTTGCATTGTAAACCTGACTTTTCTTTTATATTCTTCACAATCGCCGTTCATTGAAATATATCATGGGACATAAATATGATTTACAGAACACTTCAAGAAAGCATTGGACATGATGAATAGGGCCGGGTCGCAAAGTCATCAGCCCGGCGCAATGGAACAGGTTTCGTATTTAACGAGCTTAGAGAGAACGCAGCCGACTATGTCGCAGATGGCACCGATTGCGCAGCCGAGAATGGAGGTACGGGGATTGTGCAGTTAGATCGTCTGGTGTTATTAAACATTGTCCGTAATTAATATTGCATGTATCGTTTTTTTTTCTTTTGCAGAGACTCGCGGAGGTAGTGCGAACGGCCTCGCAAATTCCGCAAGGTTTCAAGGATCTCGTGCAAAAGAAATGCGAGGAGAGAGGTATATTATTTATGCCGATCCCGAACAGATACAAGGAGGCTAAGCAAGTATACAAAGTGGGCAACGTTCAGGCGTACATCGACGGCAGTGTCTTGTTCGTGTGTCACAACGGTACAAATTGGGTGCCGACGCATTTAAACGCCCTGCTGGATATGTCCGAACTTTAGGATTTTGTAAATTAATAAAGTGATTACTTAATAAACGTATATAACTATTACTGTAGCTGTGTTGTAAATACGATTGTAAGATATTTACTTCAAATACTATTGAAGAATTTTCATTAGTTTACTCGGATGACGTATATTTAAGTCTAAATTGATCAAAAATAGTGACATTTTTGTACCGCCGAAGCTGTACAATAAAATTATTTTTTTGTTATATAATGATGTACACATTAAATAATAATACATATGTTTATTTCAGTATCAAACTTTGTCAAATAATTCTCTTTCATGTATACATTATCGACTTCTGTTCAAAGAATCGCATGCGTGTAGGCGTCCCCGCATATTCCACTACTGAAGCGTAGCTTTAAAACTTCTCGTTATGGAAAGTTGCAAGTTCCCGCGATGCATACAGGGTGGACTAAGAAGGATGTATGAGAACGATTCGTACGTTTGAAAGAATTTGGAAAACTTTATTTTCAATTTTTTAAAATACTTTCGGTATTTGCTGCAGACTCGATTGAAAGCACACAACTTTAGAGCAAATCTTCGATCAAATCAGATATGAGACGATAGAAACGCGTTCAAAGCGTATATAATTTTTTTACGAGCTATTCCAATTAGAATGACATTCTTATATTATTTAAATGATTGCATATTCATCTAAAATGTAAAAATATATGTTTTTCTTATCGAACTATTTAATCCAATTAACAAATTAACGAGTCAATATGTTAACACGAATCTATCTTAAATCTATTTAAAAATATTTTAAAATATTTTATACGATTTTATATTTGCATAAGTTATATAATTGATAGAAATAAAATATATTACGAAAATATATCGAGACGTTGTTTCTTTTTCTGCAGTAATTATAAACGCGGATAAAAAATAGAAAATTTATGCTGCATATCGGATAAATACTTTGGTATCGATGCTTTATGAAGCAAAACACAATTGTGAAATATGTTCATCTTCTTTATCTAAACGGGTTCTACAAGCCGGGATGAGCAGGAAAGGAGTTCGCGACGCCTATGGCACGAGGACATCGACGCTACTCTTAGCAGCCCGGAGTGGTCCTGCAAAAGAGGATGGACGTCTCTCTCGCCTACATGCCTAGCAGATCCCGTCGGGTGTCGAGAACGCATTTACATCGGATCGGAGTGTCCCTGCCTAGTAACCGTGCGGCTGCAACTGCAACGCGCCCGGACGGTCCTTGCACTCTCGCGAACGTGTTCGCTGAAAGCGTCGCGATACGCGAGTCGGCGCATCAAGATGTTAAAAGCAGTACATGTTCCTTAGAGAATATAGTTTTCATCATATAAAATTAATCATTTTTATTCTCTAATTTTGCAAGAATTATTATTATTCGTTTTATGACAAGCGCATAGGTTCTAACAATTTTTTTATTATATGTAATATTTATATTAAAATATTCTATACAATATTTATAATTTTTTTCACGTAAAGTTGAAATAAGAATTTGAGAAAATCTAATTTAACATGCATTGCTCACAGACGTTCAACAAAAGCGCGCAACGAGGTGAATGTCGCGGAAATGAGCGGCAAATTGAAGCGCATTAGCGATACATGAGTGTGCGAGAATTGCAACTTCTTATTCATGTTGATCCCCGTAGATCCGTGTTTCAGACGTATCTACAATAATGACGGCATTAACAATTAAAAAGTACTACGTGAATAAATTGTTTTCTTAAATTGCGTAAAAAAAAAATAATATAATTATGCACATGAAAAAGATTGCGCGATACTGCTTTCCTATTTCTTGCGACTTGAAATTTGTCAAGAGAAATTCTTGATATACGAGTAAATTACTACACAGACTTCTGTGTAGCAAATAAAATAGTAAACTCTATGCATTTATGCGGCGCAACAGCGCGGTCAATAATTTCTTTAAATAGATCGCGGCTGCACCGGTTTATCCTTCGCATTAAGCTCGACAACTTGTTTGCGATTTTTAGCGACTCCCATCGACAGGACAGTTCATTTAATTACTGCGCAAGGTAATCGCCAGGTACAGCATACGATTACGATGCACTCGTGCCGAATAGAGTGAATAATTCGAACTGCATCATGATCGTTATTGCAATTAAACCGCGGGATGCAAATTGCGGCGTTGATCCACCTTTGAAAAACAATGCTGGAGAAGGATTGCAAAGGTGACTGTTTTAATTACGAGGCAATTCAAGGCGATGGAAAAGCGATGAATTGAAAAGCACGTCGTGATTTGCGTAAATTATTCTCGGAGGATCGGCGAAGGAGCCACACGCATCCATACTCGCGTTTTAGCATAAAACGCGATCGAGCCCCGTAGACATTCCAATCCCACGCAAATCGCCGTCTCTAAGTCCACGCATAAAACGCCAAGTATGTACGCTCGAGAACGCCTAACGCGGCGATAGTTTTAACGCTGCATGATGCTCGAACTAATATATACAGTTATCTTTCACAATATTCGTCGGAAATCCTTGGCGTTTGTACAGTGGACGTTAGGTGTACTTCGACACGTAAAATCACTTACTTGTGGCGTACTCGCGACGTTCTTAAATATTAATGCATCATATTTCATGATTTAAGAATCAGTGACTATGTTTTCATCAATGTATATAATATTATTTAATTTAATTTAATTATTTATGTATGTTTGAACAGAGAAATCTCTCTAAATTATAATAATCACGACACATCATTGAATTCCACTCATTTCTCGTCGCAAATTTTCTTGCGAATTTTAGACACGCTTTTGATCTAAAATATTTGAGCTCGCCCGCACGTAGAAAATTGCCCCGTTGGCGTGTGGTTTGTAAAATAACAAAGATTATTCGCGTCCACATTCAAATCGAGGTATCCGCGCGCGCTGGTATTAGTTCAATTTGCGGCACTTACGCAATTTACAACCTCCGTATCCTCGAGCGGTGCGAAATGACCGATTAGGCTTGCGCAAACGTCGGATAAATTCGACGTGTGATTTACAGGATTAGGTATTCCAAGGAATACAGGCCTGTGACTTAACCCATTCTCGGCGCGCGCGCACGTGGGCGTCGAATGGAGATTCGAAGCGAGACGTTTACATTTGCGCTGCACATTGTTGGAGAGATACAAAAGAATGTTAATGCGAGTGTGGTACCGCTATACGCTATTTATAAATGATCGGCCTCGTGACAGGTATGTATGATCTTTTAACAAAGTTATTTTTATTTCTGTTCTTGGAGTTGAACTTTATTTTTCACAGGAAATCATGTTGGTATAAGACTCACTTTACTTATTCACACTCGCGCGCGAATAGGCAAAAATATTTTTTCCGGAGAAAGAAACGATGCGAAATGTCCGACTGAGATTATTTCCAGTGTTTAGATTACAAATATTTTACAAATGAGTCTTCGTGAAATCCGAAAAAATGAAAACATTTACAATTAATGTGTTATTACTGTTCATTAGAATCTTTGCCTTTTTTAAATAAACAATCTGTCTCGTTATGGCAATCATTATCACTACAGAGAGTAGCGACATGTTTTATGACAAGCGTTACTTTTATTCTGTTTTATGCAGATTCGTCTGCTTAAAATTCACAACTGTGAATAAAGATTATGTCTGGTGAAACAATTTCATAAGCTAAATCTTTTTCTTCTGTCCTTTCGCTACGTTAATAAAAATAAATTTCATTCAAAACATGACTTTAGATTGAAAAACAAACATCTATTAAAAAAACACATGGAATACGAAATTATCGTAAAAATTGCTGTAACTTTTTATGATAAAATTTCGCAGATCGAGAGCACACTGGAGAATTAACAGGCGGGCTACAAGAAGATCCGAGATTATTATTCCCGCTCGCCGCGGAAGAAAAAGGGTATGTGTCTTCGTTTGCGCTTCGGCAAGAAGTCTAATACAGCTGAAACGCAGTGCACGCATGCACACGACATAACCGCCTGCCTCCATCGGTGCGCGATCGTTACCTATCCTGGGCCTTCCTTTCACATTATCTGAAAGGCCTCCCAGGTTGTAAGTGCAGCCATAATGCGTGGAACTATATCGCGCCGCGTGTAAGGGCGCGCGTAGATGCCGCGAGTCTCCCGCGAAACAGGTTGTCGTTTATATCTCTTAGAAGACGCAGCTATTCCGCATTACACGAATATGGAGATTGCTAAATTACGGATTATTATAAACGCCGTAAAGTGAATAACAATGTTTTGCAGCATATGAAAAATCAAATAAGACGTGCTAATATTTTCCACATGTAAAACAATGCGGTATAATATTTTAATATTTTAGAGAGAAGAGCAGTTTCAGCAGGAAACTTTTCCCTTCAAGACTCTTACAATCTTTTTCACATCTATTGAGCTCTCAAATACGTTTTCGTCGCTTTCTCCCGATCCGCTTAAGCGTGTCAAATCTCCGAACGACCGGGTGAAACGGGCTCTTCGCCCACGCATCACAATCTAAACTGACACGGCGATCGCCGCTCGAGGCGCGTCGTGTTCGCAACTTGCTCATTCTTCTGCAACGCAAATGCAATCGCGATCCGGCCGGCGGTATCGCTTCAATCGGCTGTATTATGCGGGCATTTCGCGAAGAGGCACGGGAAAAAAAGTGCGAATCGTGCAGACACGAAGAAGGGCAGCCGGTAGATTGGAGCGCGCAACAGGTGTAACTCGTATACATCGTCGTACAAATAATCTGGTTCACTCTTGAGCTAGCAGGTGTACGCGCGTCGGAGGGAGAGGGGAAATGATATGAATTATTTGCCGCTCGCGTGTTATTATTTCGTTACGTTAGCGAGAATCAGTTTGCCGCGTGAACTTTCGTAGATTTCACCGGAGATATCATGCCTCGTCCGCGCTCCGCGCGGAAAAACACACTTCACCTCGATTTCGGTGAAACCGCGTCGCGATACGACGAAACGTTTAGCTTTAACTGCGCTTACCGTTAACCGGCGTCAGAGAAATTGATCCTTAGAGTATCATATTTCTCACGTGTCTCTTTCCTCTTATTTGCCGACCGTTATTAAGAGATTTCTATGGCAGTGTCACATTTTCTATGTTGAAAATATATTTTCTCTTCAAAAATATAATTGAAAAAATTGTTTCTATAATTGAACGGCGTCAAAATTATCGAAATCGCTCCGTTCGATCTAATAGAAGTCGATATCTAGGCAAGAATTCACTTTCGACCGAAGAGCATCTGCCCAC